TTATATTTAAAAAAAATTCCTAATATATAAAAAATATAAAATAAATTCTAATTCCCTTACTATTTTTCTAATACCATCTCTAACTCATCCTTACTAATCCCCCTTTTAAGGGGACTACTAATACCAAGGGACTAATAGTCTCATCCTCATCTCTCAAAATAAACACCCCATTAGTAATACCAAGGGATTAGTAATCTCAATTCCCTCCTTATAACCCCAAACAAATGGGGCTTAAAGTCCCTCAATTTGATCTAGAGAAATTCTGTCCAAAGAAATTCTCTTCAACACAGAGAAATTTTGATTTTGTTGAAATGCCTTCAAAAGTACAAAGCTAAACATTAAGTTTCTATTTCTATCAAAGAGACATTTAAACCCCAGAGAAAATCCCCTCAAACCAGAGAAATTCACTTGTAAACCCCTTGAAACAATGAAAACATACCTGGAAACATAGCAAGCCATTTAACCATTTGAGCTTCAAGTCCATATTTCAGCCTTTGTAACTTCCTGAATTTATTTCAAATTCTACACAAGAGTTTACTTCATTTTTGTTATCTGCAGTTTGATGGCTTCAGTGACTTGGATACATATTCACAGAGAAAATCTCATCACCAGAGAATTTGATGAGATTTTCTCTGGATTCAATCCAGAGAAATTCTTTAAAATCAGAGAAATTTTCTGCATCACCCATAAATAAAAAAATAAAAAAATAAAAAAAAAACCAACAACAACAACCTAAAACAATGGCTTGAATTATTGAATATCTCTGCAACTCTCTGCATCATCCATCAATCCCAAAAACGCAACTCAATCAAATCTACAATTAACCAACTCTCTGCATATTTATCAAGTTCCTTTTTAATTCTGTTTTTGGTCTTTGAAATTTCTCTAGACATTTCAATCCAGAGAAATTCTTCAAAACTAGAGAAATTCCCTCTCCACCCTAGTGGAATAAGAGCTTCTACTTCAACATATCAGACCCTTCTAACCTCCACAATCTTACTCTCGATGCTTATATCTACAACAATATCAATGCCCGCCACACTAGGTCCTTCCTCGCGAAAGTTTCCCTCAACGGGACATCGTTTGTTCCCTATTCAAATGCTGTTATCTTACACTACCCATTGGAAAAGCGTGGAACCTTTTCATGTGTTAGAGGGGGAGCTTGGCCTTAAAGTTTATATTACTGATGATCCATCCATAAAGTCTTCTAACCCACTTCCCACAGTTGAAGATACCCGAGCACATGCCTATTCAGTTCCAAATGCTGCACCAAACATATTTTCTAATGTCAAAACCGAGAAAAGACGTACCTTTCATCATCTTCTGAACACAAATCATACCCAACAGCAACAACAGAATTCTTCTGTTGATGTTACAGTACCACACCATGTGAGGGTTGATGAGATGAAAGCTGAAACCGAGCCTCCAAAGCTCATCCGCATGTACTCTGCTTCATCGGCACAACCAGTTGACTATGCACTTAAAGAGACAAGCCCATTCCTTCTTCACCACCGTCGCTGCTGCCGACGTCGTCGAACGGCTTTGGCGGCGAAGGTTTGATTGCGCTTAAAAGTGGAAATGTCGATGGTAGAAGAAGAGCGAGAGTAGTAGTGATGCTACAGCGACATTGCCGGAGATGAGGAGGCGGCTATGGCGCTAGATTCGCTGCTCCATTGGCGAACGTAGAGTTGACTCTGAAGAGTCTCTGTTCGTCTTCGGTCCACCTGTTTACAGCAAATGATCTCGGTCTAGATCTTTCGGGGGTGAAGAGTAAGAAGTGGAAAGGCACAATTCAATGCACAATAATTTCTTTTGGGGTTGATGTAGGAGAGAGAGCAGAGAGAGACCAAACTCAGTTTTTGAAGCCTTTCGTTTTTTCTTAAATTTCTCTGTGATATATGAGTTGGGGTTGAAGGACTTTAGATATCATAAAATAATATTGTAGATCTCTTCCATTATTAAAAGTGGGAGAGGGACCTTAAACTAATTTTTCCATTTTTTTATTGAGGCGGAAAAAAAAACTCATGTGAGACAAGACATGGGATGTAGCCTGCAGAGATGTTCATATTCATGCTTAGGAGTATTGAAAGATCAGTTCAGTGGACTTGTCTTTTTCTTTTTTTTATCAATTTTAAACTATATTGAACTATTTTCAAAAAAAAATTTAACTTTTTATTTATTTCAAAATATTTTTTTTACCTTAATTTAAAAAAAAGTAAATTATACTGACACCTTCTAAGATTTGATCCAATTACATCATATCCCTTGACGTTCTAAAAATTACATTCCCACCACTGTGGTTAATAGCTTTATTTCACAAATCTCCTGCTTATATAAAAGACAATAACTCTTAGTAGAAAAATAGAAAAAATTACATTTAAAAAAATGTATATTTTTTTTACCTTAATTTAAAAAAAAGTAAATTATACTGACACCTTCTAAGATTTGATCCAATTACATCATATCCCTTGACGTTCTAAAAATTACATTCCCACCATTGTGGTTAATAGCTTTATTTTACAAATCTCCTGCTTATATAAAAGACAATAACTCTTAGTAGAAAAATAGAAAAAATTACATTTAAAAAAATGTTTAAAACAAAGGAAAAAAAAAAACCAAAGAAAGTAAAACAAAGTAAGAAAAGAGAGAGTATGAGTTCGATATTTTCATTCCGTTTAAATAATTATAATGATAGGGGGTTAATGTAATTTCTCAAACGTCAGGAGTGACATGTATTAAATCAAAATTTCAAGGGCGTAAATGTAATTCATCCAAAAAAAAAAAACAAAAAAAAACAAAACAAAACTTGCAAATTATTTGAGCCTTCAACCTCGCATTGGAGTTTTGTACGCCAGGTTTTGGTGACGTGGCGTCCGAGCAAGGATAATTAGGAATGGCAACGGGGCAGGGCAGGGCCGGGGACTACACTCCCCGTCCCCGATCCCCAAAGGCTGAAAAATCCCCGTCCCTGCCCCCGATCCTCGGCGGGGGAACCCATCACCCCCCGTCCCTGTCCCCTAACGGGGATCGGGTTTCCTCGATCCCGAAAACTCCCCGAGCTTCAACACAAAAACAACAAATCAGATCTAAATTTAAATTTGCAGATTTAAATTTTTAATTTTTTTTTACAGATCTAAATTTACATATTTAAATTTAAAATAATAATAATAATAATAATAATAATAATAATAATAATAATAATAATAATCACAGATCAGATCAGATCACGCTGCGTAGGTTCGATGGTGGTGGCACACACAGATCAGATTAGATCAGATCTGTGATTCATGCACACACACAGATCATTAGATCACACACACACACACACACACACACACAGATCTAATAGTGGCTGGCTGTGGCAGTAGGTTCGGTAGTGGTGGCGCGAGATCGAGAGTGGCTGACTGTAGCGGTACGTTCGATGGTGGAGACAGACCTTGTGCGGCGATGGTGGTGATGTCGCCGTCGGTGAGAGAGGGGGGGAGAGGTCGGGCCAGCGGTGGTGGTGATGTCGCTGTCGGTGAGAGAGAGGGGAGGTCGGGGCCAGAGAGAAGAACGAGAGAATGAGAGAGAGTTGAGAGGAGAGTAAGAGTGAGAGTGAGAGAGGAAGAGATGTATCAAATTAGAGTTAGAGAGTGAGTGTGAGAGCAACACATGACTCAGAATTGGTTTATTATAAATATAATATACGGTTTGGTATATTTTTTATATATATATATAAGGGGTATAAAAGTAATTTTACTTAGGGGAAATTCGGGGACGGGGCCAGGGCTGGGGATCGGGCCGGGCCGGGGCTTAAACACTGATCACCGTCCCCGGCCCGAAACAGATCGGGGATTAATTTTCAGATACCGTCTTCTCCCCGTCGGGAGTATTTTTCAAGGAAAAACAGCCCAAATCAGGGTCGGGATTGATGATCCCCGTCGGGTCGGTTTCAAATTGCCATCTCTAAGGATAATAGTTGCATATTCATGGAGGGGTTGTTGGGCATTTTGTGAGGATTTTTTTAAAAGATATTTTGAAATATTTTGAAAAGATAGTTAAAAGTCATTTTTTAATTTTAAATCATATTATCTTTCACATTTTTTATATATTTTTTTAAAAAAATCACTTTTAATTATTTTTCTAAAACAATCTACTGTCCAATAAAACACCCGTCCCCACCATTATTCTTGTGGGTTCCTCTCTCATCTTTAAAATTGTATTTTTTAAAAATTTTAAAACAGTAAATTTTCTATTCATAATTTTATCTAAAAATTTAATTTATGATTCAAATTTATTTTATATATAAAATTTACAATATATCAATTCATTCTATTTTTTTTGGATACAACCGTCCTGCATGTAAAAACATAAAAATTATATTTTGTAGTTTTAATTTATTTTATGCATGTCTATATAATACTCAAGATGAATTGACAGTTTTTAATATATTTTTTATATTTTAATTTTGTGAAATTATTATTTATTTATTTTTAATAATGTGAGCCTTCATTGTTGGGACAGTTAGTCTAATGATTTATATAACTGTCTCTTAAAACAGTAAGAATATCGAATATTTAAGATTCAAATTAATAAAAAATTGTAATATTTTTATTGTAATTTAATTTATTAATTTACTTATATCCTATTATTTAAATAAAAGGAAAAAATAAATAAATAAACAGTAATGATAGAGGGCCCGAATTTCTCTGGCTCGAATGACTCGAATTGACCAAAACGACGTCGTTTTGGACACAAAACAACACAAAACGACATCATTTTTGTCAATTCAAGTCATTTGAGCCGCGAATATTGTAGCCACCAATCATTTTTCATAAATAAATAAGTGAGTGAGACCTTTTTGCCACAACCACATTCATCCCCTAATTGCCTGCCAAGTGTCACCAACCCATTTGCGAGAAGATTTCTTCCCATTTCATATCACAATTAAAAATAAAAATAAAAATAAAAAAACTAAAATGCCAGTTTTACCCTCGAAATGCTTTTTTTATGTTTTCCTACCAAGCCAAGCCCAGAGGCAGAGAGAGAGTGTTGACAACAGCAAACCCAATTCTTCTTCACACATCTTCTCACGCAATTGACACAATTAACAAACACCCATTTCTCTGCAATGCTCAAAATCCTCAACAGAAACCTCAAGCGACTCTGTTCTAAACTCCGGTGGCCGATTCACCCCCGTCAAAAACCCAAAATCATCATCCAAAAGTTGGGAAAATCAAACTCCAAATCTCATCCCAATTCAAACCAAGACACCATCCCAAATGGGTCAGCAACTGTTCATCCAAACACTCAATCAAACACCGAAAAACCCCAAGAAAAGCCGATTCGCATAGCCACATTCAATGCTGCCCTGTTTTGCATGGCACCTGCAATTCCAAAGACTGAGAGCTCAAATGAAGATCAACCCAATTCCAACCAATCAATCGATTACAATTCCAGAATAAAATCAACGAATGATCGGCTAAAGAGCATACTGAAGCAAGCTCCCCTGTTTCCCAATTCCATGAATGATTCTGAAAATCTCTCTAAGCAACAAAAATTTGCAAAATCAAAGTTACGGGTTTCGATCAATTTACCTGATAACGAAATATCATTGATGCGAAGCGCGCAATTAAGCTTTGGAAATGAAGAAAACGAAGCTTCTTCGAGCAAAAACACAAATATAAATATGAAGGGGAAAAGTAGTGTGAGATCACAGAGGTATTCGAGTAATAAAACGATTGTTGAAGTGTTGAGAGAGGTTGAGGCTGATATATTGGGATTGCAAGATGTGAAAGCGGAGGAAGAGAAAGGTATGAAGCCTTTGGCTGATTTGGCTGAGGCTTTGGGGATGAATTATGTGTTTGCTGAGAGTTGGGCTCCAGAGTATGGCAACGCCGTGTTGTCGAAATGGCCGATTAAGCGATGGAATGTTCAGAAGATTTTCGATGACTCTGATTTCAGGTTCTTGCTCTGGTTCTTGCCATCTTCCTCAATCCCCTGTTTTTCTCACTTGTTCTGATTATTTTCCTGGGAAAATTCATAAAAATTTAATACTCTGTTCATTTCATCTCTTTGTGAAATACAAATTACACTCCTAGTCTATTTATTTCTTGTGCCAAATTGGTATTTGTAGTTTTAATTCCATGAATTTTATCCTTAGAATTTTTCATAATTTGTTAATTAAGTCCAATTAATAACATGTTTTTAAGAAATTAGACTGAAATGTATTGAATAATATAATTTCACTTGCTCTTTTCAATCTCAAAGTGATTGATGTTTAATTTGAAAGAGTCCATTTCCCTTTTCAATTGACTATTTTGCTCTTGATTTTTTTCTAATCAAATTGTACTAATAAAATTAATACAATTAGAGATATAAGAATTAAATTAAAATAAGAAACAAATTACAAAAGCCCATCACTTTTTGTGTTTAGGAAACTCTATGTACGATAATACTTTGATATTTTAATATTTTAAGATTTTTATCATATCATGTGGTTGTGAGTGTGAAGTTTTAGGAAATTACCAATTATTCAAATTGAGGAATTGTTCAATTTCATTTCTTAGAAAGCCGTTTTTAAGAAATTAAGAGATGATATGTTATATTATAGATTATGATTTATAAATCGTGAGAGAGAATATAAATGGAAAATGAAGAGTGAAAATAAATACTAAGTGTATTATTGTAATATTTATCTAATTATATTTAAAAATAAATTAAATTACATGCTATATATATAAATATAAGAAAAATGTTTGATGGTCCGAATTTTTGTGGTTTGAATGACTCGAATGTGTCAAAACGACATCGCTTTATAATCGTTTTAAGTGTTTCGAGTCATTCGAACCATGATATTTTTGGGTCATCAATTATTGTTGTAAATATAATCAGAACAGAGACGGAATAAAATGAGGCGATAGAGGAAAACATGTTTGGATGGATCTCGCTTTCTCAAACAAAGAGAACCCGTTACATCCACAGCCGCATTAGTGTGGGAATAGAAACACCCACATCCACATGTCCTTGTCGAGCACTGGAATTATTCCCACCCAAATATATATCTTTTACAATCCAAATGTCAGGGTTGACTTCTACAGCCTGGCTGTGCTTTCGTGCCAAAAAAAAAAGCTCTGAAACTTCCTCATACCAAAGTGTAGATGTGGGGTTGTCAACATACTTTCTAATAAACAGCTGTATGCCAAGATGTAGAATTCAAGTTCCACCATTCTTTAGACAATTATATCTGCACTTCTGTACTGATGAGTAATTTAATAACGGAAAATGTTTGATAGGTTAAATTTTTGTGATTCAAATGGTTCAAATCTGTTAAAACGATATCGTTTTACACTCATTTACACTCAAAACGGCGTTGTTTTGAGCCATTTGAGCCATTTGATCTACAAAATTTTGAGCTACCTAGTATTGTTGTTTAATAACTTTTATTACGACTATTTGTAAAGATAGTAGAAAGTGGATAACTATATGTTATTAATTATTAATGAAAAAGAATTTGTTTTCTGTCATCTTTTGAAATATTGGCTTCTACTCCTTTTAGGGAGATTCATCTTTTTTTTCTTTTTTTTTTTCCCCCTTTTGAGAGAAGCTTCTCTCTAATTGTTTATCCCAACTGGGAGGTGATCTTGGTCCTCAATGTGCCCAGCAGTGAGTCCACGTTGATAATTTGAACCATTTTTTGTGTAGAATTTATTGGGTATTTTATCACTAAAAAAAATCACGTTGATCAAATATCAATAATCACTTGATCATGTCACATTTGTATAAACAATTTATTTTAAAAATCATACTTACTGTTAATACAAATGTGATATAATTAAGTGATTATCGATATCCGATCAACATAATTTTTTACAGTGATGAAATACTTGATGAACCCTACACATTGAATGGTTCAGATTACCAAAATAAGTTATGTGGTGGACCCACAGAGACCCAACAGTACCCCCTCCAATCCAAATTAGACTAGAAAGAAGTTGTGGCTTTTTCTTTTATAGTGATTGGAAAACGATACGATTTGAGATTTTCTTTTTCTTTTTCTTTTCATTTGATTTTATTCTTTATATTCAATAAAAAAAATATAAATTTATACTATTAATGCAACATCTTTTAAAACCAACTAGGCTAATCTAATTGGTTTTTAAAGGCTTAGTCTCTAAGGAGAGTTATGTGTTGAACTCTCCTTATTAAGAGAGTTAAATTAAAAGGGCAAGCACTTAGTGCTTTGCAAAGGGTAAAAATGCATTTTTTATAGGTATTAATCTAACAATTAACTTTCGCAGATCAAAAAGAAATGCATCATCTTTTAAACTTTAAGAATTAATATTATTTATATTATATTTGAATAATATATTCATATAATAAATAAATAATATAATTTACATATAGCACTACATATCTGTCCAGTACTTTTCAAAAATTATTGTGTCAGTGTGTCTGTATCTATACTTATTACTGCTTCAATATTGGATACAGGAATGTTTTGAAGGTGACGGTAGATGTTCCCTGGGCAGGTGAAGTGAACTTTCACTGTACCTACCTTGACCATCTGGACGAAAACTGGCGAATGAAGCAGATAAATGCAATAATCCAATCTCATGACGGGCCAAATATTTTAGCCGGAGGACTCAATTCTCTTGATGAAACAGATTACTCACCAGAAAGATGGACAGACATTGTAAAGGTTGTTGAATTATACATTTTCAATATTTCACATAATAGAACTTAGTTGATAATTAACTTACTTTGGAAAATGACAAATATGTTACAGTATTATGAAGAAATGGGAAAGCCAACACCAAAAGTTGAGGTGATGAGATTTTTGAAGAGTAAACAGTATACAGATGCTAAGGACTTTGCTGGGGAATGCGAACCAGTTGTCATGATTGCCAAAGGCCAAAGTATGAAACCATTTCTCCCAACTAATATTTTGCATAATGATTCAAAGTATCTTTTCTTGAACATGTCTTGATTTTAAAGGTGAGAATCATGTTGATCATTTAGGTAATGTTTCATCTCGAGTTTGTGTCAGATTTTTTTTTATCACTAACTCTATTTATTTAATTTTTTTTTTGTAAAAATATTAGAGACATTATTTTTTTTTTTTGCCCCACAATTTAAATTTTTATGAAATTGATTTATACTTTATGAAATTATGCTCTAAAATGTTTAATTCCAACACAATTCTAATTTTTAATTTCAAAAAACCAAACCCTATTATTTATTTATTTATTAGTTACATCTCCAGAGATTTAAAAAATATATACTAAACTCAACAATTTAAGCATAATCATATTAGGTTCTCTTAAAATTTTAATTCATAAAACACTTAGCCACTTTTTCATAATAAGTTATACGTGTCAATTTTTTATTATGCCAGTGTGACATTAACTCGATCTATTTGTCGTTTTGGCCATTTTCGCCACTTTTGAGCCACAAAATTTGAGCTACGTAGCATTGTCGATGTTTCATCTCGAGTTTGTGTCAGATTTTTTTTATCACTAACTCTATTTATTTAATTTTTTTTTTTGTAAAAATATTAGAGGCATTATTTTTTTTTGCCCCACAATTTAAATTTTTATGAAATTGATTTATACTTTATGAAATTATGCTCTAAAATGTTTAATTTCAACACAATTCTAATTTTTAATTTCAAAAAACCAAACCCTATTATTTATTTATTTATTAGTTCCATCTCCAGAGATTTAAAAAATATATACTAAACTCAACAATTTAAGCATAATCATATTAGGTTCTCTTAAAATTTTAATTCATAAAACACTTAGCCACTTTTTCATAATAAGTTATACGTGTCAATTTTTTATTATGCCAGTGTGACATTAACTCGATCTATTTATTTTCCATATTATCATGACTTGTCACTTTTGAATTCATGTTGAGGAGTAGTTAGTTCTAATCCACTAATTTTGTATCCAAATCATATTGTATCGAAAATTTCAAATAATTTTTTTCATTATAATATAGGTGTACAAGGGACTTGCAAATATGGGACTCGAGTGGATTATATATTGGCATCATCAAACTCATCGTACAAGTTTGTTCCAGGCTCATACTCTGTGTTTTCATCCAAGGGGACTTCAGATCATCACATAGTGAAAGTTGACGTGTTAAAAGGAGAGAGCAATGCTCAACAACATGGCAATAGGAAGAGAAGACAACCTAAACAGAGAATTGTAAAGATAACCAACTCTTCTTCAAAGGGTATATGGAAAACATATGGAGAGAGATAGATAGAAAGATAGATCGGTCTCTTTCTTCTCTCTTTAAAAACTATTCAGTGTTGTTTGGTGCACGACTAAGGATCTTTTGTTCCTAAATGTCAATATCCTTTCTCATGTCTCTCTTTCTCTTGCTGTGTAAAAATTATTTTGCTCGATAACATGGTCAATGATCTTTTGTCCTTAAATGTTCATAGGATCACTAACCTAATGACATTGTGGGTGTTTGGCAGAACTTAATTTCAACTTAAATCAACTTTTGGCTTAAATTAAGCTGTTATGGTATGTTTGGTACAACTAATGGACATAGATTATGGCTTAATTTAAGCCAAATTCGGTTTAAAAGTTAAAGTTGCTCGCGAGGTGCTTAAAAAAACGACTTATGCGCGCAGCTGTTTGGGAAGGGACAAAATGACTTAAATGCCCCTCCAAAACTTAAGTAATAACGAAAATGCCACTATATAAACCATTTCTCACTCATTCTTCTTCTCTCACACAAACGAGAGAGGCGATTTCAGGCGAGCTAGGCGATTTCCGGCGAGCATGTATTTTCGGCGACCGAGCTCCCTCTCTCTCTCTCTCCCCCCTCTCTCTCTCTTCCCATTCGCGAACCCGTCTCCCTCTTCACGATCGCGATCTGCACCATCGCGATCTGCCATCTGCGTCGGTTGATCTGCACCATCTGCCTTAGCGCCGGTTGATCTGCACCGTCTCTCCCCATTCGCGAACCCGTCTCCCTTTTCGCGATCTGCCATCTGCGCCGGTTGATCTGTACCATCTGCCCTAGTGCCAGTTGATCTGCACCATCTGCCATCGCGATCTGAATGAAACCCTATAGTCGGTTCATCCCGCCGGAGCTAGGGTTTTCTTTATTTTTATTTTTTTTTTAGGTTTTTCAGTGTTTTTTTAATAAAAAAAAAACAAAATAATTAATGAATAAAAATAAATAATTGATGCTAATTAATTGAGACTAATTAATTTAAAATGAAAAAATGAAAAAAAATTATATTAATTGATACTATTAATAAGAATATTGATGAATATATGTAATTGATGGAAAAATTAATAATAATTGATAATATTAATATATGTAATTTATGTAATAATTGATGAAAAAAATTAATATTGATGAATATATGTAATTTATATTAATTGATTTAAGTAATTAATTGATACTAATTAATAACAATTGTCGATTATTAATATTATTTGATACTAATTAATAATTTTAGTATTAATTGATACTGATTAAGTAATTAATTGATACTAATTAATAACAATTGTCGATTATTAATATTATTTGATACTAATTAATAATTTTAGTATTAATTGATACTGATTAAGTAATTAATTGATACTAATTAATAACAATTGTCGATTATTAATATTATTTGATACTAATTAATAATTTTAGTATTAATTGATACTGATTAAGCAATTAATTGATACTAATTAATAACAATTGTCGATTATTAATATTATTTGATACTAATTAATAATTTTAGTATTAATTGATACTGATTAAGCAATTAATTGGTACTAATTAATTTATAATGGAAAAAAATTATTACAATATTACTACTATTACATTTTTATCAAGTGTATCAATTTTTTTATATTAGTTGATATTAATTAATACTAATTATATTAACTTTTATTAATGAAATAATTTTTAAAATTAAAATTGAAAAAAAAATGACAAAATTATCATTTTTATATCATATAAGGGCAAAAAAGTCAATTATACAGGAAAAGCTATTTTACAGCTTATTTACCAAATACTATTCTGCAACTTAAATCTATAATCTCACAGCTACACCAAACAGGTTACCAGTTTATACTTACAGCTGTAAGTTATAATCTGTTAAGCTATAATTTATAATCACTTTACCACAGCTCTACCAAACGGGGCTATTGTTGATATAGATAATCTATTTGCTGATAATAAAAATATAAAAAAATATTGAATAATTATTTTATATATAAATCTCATCAATGGATGGTAATGTAGGAAAAGGGCATAGGATTAAATTTGCTTCATTTGGTAAGTCTTGTACGCACACTCTTTTGTATTCTGGCTGGTTTTGGAAAGAAAATGAAAGAAATAGATGAGATTGGGTGTAACAAGAATTATGTGATTTTTTTATTATTATTTAAATTGATTTATGTTAAGAGTGTTTGCCCCCAAAATCAGATAGAGGGTGAATTTATATTGACCATCACTATCCAGCAAGGTGCTGGTGATCCTAAATTAGTTTTTACTTGTGTGGAATGAACAATCAACTACTGTATCGGCTACACGTCGCACCCAACCCCAACGTTGTTCTGTTCTATTTTGTTTTGTTTCGTGTTGGTCTCGGTCCCAATCTTACAAACAATATTTACAAAGAACTAGATTGTGACGAAACTCGACGAAACACATGATACACCATCGATATCCTTTGTGCTATTCTTGAACTCAACAACGGCGTGCGTTATTTCCAAGCCCCACCTCTGAGGCAATCTTGAGCTTGTCAATGCTGCTAATTTCCAGAATGAATTCAAGACCAATTAAATTATCAATTTGAAAGAAGCTTAAACCTTTTTGAGTTTAAGATTGACCTGGCAACTAAAAATAATAAATTACGCTTTCACTCTTTACAATATAATTCTTTAACATCTTGATCCTTAAAGAAAAAAATTTCTATTTTAGACCTTAAGCTATTATATTTTTTCCACTTTTGTCGAAATTTCAATGATCATTATACTTTTATGATGAAAAACATATGGCTCATGTTGACCCAACCCCAACCTATATCTATGGGTTGCGATGGTTATGAGTTAGGTTTTTAGTAATCTGCCCCCACTCCATATCATATAGGGGTAGGAGTGGGTTAATTTTGTAAGTATAAAAGTGTGACATCCTGAATGTTTAATTAAATATCACATAAATATTTATAGTTATATATAATTATAATTATATGTGATAATATATTATTTAAAAATAAATAATAATAACAATAATAATAAAATAAATATCTGGAATAAGAATAAGAATAATATGTAATAGTAAAACAAAATAATTAATATTATGATAGTATGCTATAAAGTATAATTTATTTTATTAATTAGAGTCAATGTAAAGTTAAGGCAAAATAAAATAAAAAAAGGCTATACATAAATTAATTTGCCTTTATCAAATATATGATGTATGAGATTTCCCTATGGATTAAGTAAATCAACCATTAATGAGAGAAGATTTGCAATTGTCCTAGAGAGATAGAATTGAGCAGAGGGAAGTGAGTCATCAACCATGGGGGTCATCATGATGGAAAGAGTCAACACTAAGGAACATGTATATAAGGGAGAGAGGGGGGGCTGTGAAATAGTAAGGGATCGAATGAAAAAAAAAAAAAAAAAAAAAAAAAAAGAAACCGAGACAAGGCACAGAAGAGGGTTCGGAAGTCCGGAGGCAGGGCTCACGGCCGCGACTTTGAAACTTCTGAACGAGCACAATATGCAGCGTCACCGAGCGCTCAATCGGTGATGTCTGAGTCTTAAGGTCGGTCGAAAATGGGGTGTCTACAGAAAGAGTCAACACTAAGGAACATGTATATAAGGGAGAGAGGGGGCTGTGAAATAGTAAGGGATCGAATGAAAAAAAAAAAGAAAAAAAAAATAGAAAAGAAAACGAGAGAATACAACAAAAATATGAGAGAAATAGTAAGACTTAATATTAAGGTGAGTTATATTATATTTTAAGTCATCATAATATATTTTACGTATGTTTTGGCTTACCATAATTTACTTTATACAAGTTATGTTTTATAAAATTATATTAATATTTCAATTACGTGGATTAATTTCTGAACTTTATTTGTTTAAAATGAAACCATGGATATGTTTGTTTAAATTTTAGAAAGTATTTGACTATGACCTTATAAACAATTATCTTTTGTAAGTACCACCACGGGAGTCTCACGTATTAGCGGACTTAAATAATCATTGGCCTCTGTTTGGCCACTCTGTGGTCTTCTGTTTGTCCTGGATCCATTGACCTCTATTCTGACTGTCACTCCTGTTATGTTATGTACCGTGGTTATGGTTATTTATTTGCATAATTTCAGTATTTTAGTTTCTACCACTTTGAATAATTTGTTTATTCAAATTGAGTTATGTAAATATTTTAGTCTAACTAACTATTCATGGTTATTTTGTGTTCCCTACACTCTCGGTATAATATTTCTTACTCTGCTGTGTGCTTATAGCTGTTACCCTTTCAGGTGACGAGATGTAAAGAAGACCTGTAACCTCATGTGGTGGAACCTGAACAAGAATTGATGCTGATCCATTTTTTTTTTTCCTTTTCTTTCTTTTATTTTTTTTTAACTGAGGACCGATCACTGCATAATAAAAAAAATAAAATAAAAACCCTATAGATGTATTTTCTTTTATCAAAATAGTAGAATGGAATTAACTTTTGCGTTTAATTTTTTTCTTACTTCCATTTTGCCTCCGCCTGCACTACTTAATTTATTAATATTAGAATTAATTAGTAAATTGTGATTCCAGCCCTAAGCCCTTGGGGTTGGGTCGTAACAAAGGTTGTATCAGAGCAGTGGTTTTAAAAAGATAAATAAATATTTACGTGTGACATTAGTCTTTTTCTGTAAAATCTCACGTTTATTCTGGTGATGTAGGAATGTCCGAGATTAACCTTGATGAGGCATTTTGAGAAGAACTTGGGGCCGTTCATTTGGAGCATATTTTGGCAGAACACCCTGCCTCCGCCTCACCGGAAGGATGGGGAAACTCAAAGGATATAGTTAGGAGACTACACCCCGACCTTACCCAATTGATGGGTCGGTCAATCTATATACAGACTGATCCTATTGATGTACCATACTTACTATGGAGGTAGAGCTGTGCTTATACGCGCGGACGATTTCTTAGACCCACACGTGTCCTCGGCCTTGTTCCAGGTTATGGCCGCCCGCACTGCATCGTTGGCCCTTTGCTCCCAGATTTTGTGGTAAGAAAGGGAAATGTGTACCTCGATGACTATATCTTCACTAGTGTCCCTAACCCGCTGGAGATTATTAATATTCAAAATGTTGACTTTAGTAATGACTTGTCGTATATCGAGACACTCGGCTAGATTGTTGATACAACGTTTTTGAGA